TTTTATAGACAAAATCTTTGGACATTTAACCTGCAACCTTATAATAATATTGTAATTTTTGGAGTAGAACAAATGATGGAAGAGTTTGAATGCAAATTATTGCAAGAAGCAAATCCTGATACTGTTGTGGTTGCTTGTAGATTTCCATTGCCTAATATGATACCGACAGAAACAATTGGAAATGGAGTAGATACAGTCTGGAAATATGTAATCAAGAAAAGTGTAAAATGACAGACAAGTAATAATTCTTATTTTTTTGAAACAAAGCAATAGTAATATTAATTATATACTATTAAATGTAGTTGTAATAAAATAATATTAAAAGCGTCCACTTCTTTTCCTTCCTGTGTACTTTGTGTCCGGTTTTGTTTCTTTTCCTTGTTTCCGTCTCCTTTCTTTTTTTTCAAGGAGCCAAGCTCTGGTATTCTTTAGAGGTTTTCCTCTAGCACCTTTTGAAGCCTCACGTCTTGAATACTTTACTTGAAGACTGTCTACTTCATCAACACCTTTAAGTAAGTTATTATATATAAATGTTTATTGTACTCAATATACAATTTAAGTTTTAAAATAAAAAATGCTTACTGTAAATTTCACTGTATGCAAGCAAACCGGGTTCAATCCCTGCCGGCACCAATGTAATTGTTAAGTGTAATTTTAAATGCAGATTTACCATGTGCTCGGCAGTGAAGGAAAACATAGTGAAGAAACCTGCATGTCTGAGAAATAAAAAAAGAAATATTTTGAAGACATGTGAAGTATGCCAACATGCATTGGGGCAGTGTGGCAGACACTTCTTTGACCTAAAACCCTCTCAGAAATGAGGGGAGGCTTGTGCTCTGCAGTGGGACATATATCGGCAGTAACTTCAACATTAAATAAAAAACAAGAACAAAAGTGAACATAGTACTTTATATTTACCTAGAGCTTTAGGTAATGGTGCAGACCCTCCCGTCATAAGAACTAAAAAGAATTTCTTTGCTTTAGCTGAATTAGGATAATCAATAACTACACCTCCATAAAAACCTGCTTTCATTGCTTGGGAGGTTAGGAGTTCTAATTGGTTTTCATTTTCAGGGTAAAATTGAAAGACTGCTCGTGCTGACCTTGACTAAAACAGAATAAATTGACTACAGTTGACCCATGGTAATCCAACAAGCATTTTGCAAGGCAGTGTTGGATTACCAAATTTAACAGACTATAGAGTACTGCTACAGGCCCCCAGGTAGTCTGGAACTTTTTGATAAAGATTACCTTATAATCTGACAAATAACAAATAAAATAATAAAAGTTACTTTATGTGGTTATTTAGTATTAAACAGTAAATGATGAATGCCTGCTAGACTGCAACCACAGTCACATTTAAAGTGAGACAATTGTGTGAAATAATTAAAACCTGTATGTCTACATATTCGCGAAGTACACCTCCCCCCTGTGGCGGATTTATAATGTGACTCGATTGTACCTACATGTCAAAGGCATGTTGGGTTACAAGGAGGTGGGGATTAGCCAGGAGCCAAATTACCGGGGGCCACTGTATTTATTTATTTAATTTTATTAAAACAAATACTGTCTATGTTACAGCAAACATTATTTGATAATTTTAGAGACTTATAAATTAGGGCATCCACATTTTTCTTGCAACCAGGGCCAGGTGCCACATAGGAATTAGGTGAAATATTTGATGGATTTCATAGCCTAGTGGTCAATTTGTTAGGCAGAAAAAGTTATATTTTGCTATATTAGTTAGATTAGAAATAGATAAATCAAACTATGGGTACTCCTATAAAGCAAAAAATTTAAATGCAAGCTTTCTCGAGGCATCCTGTTAAAGCAAGGAAAAACAAGGGGTGAGATTTGAGTTCCACCCTCATATCTATTAAATTTTATCTTTTTTGACAGCTCTGAAGTACAGTGTCTTAGCAGTAAGTTGCATTATGTGTAAGTGCTGCAAGTTTGAAACCCACATAGAACATGGTATTTGTATGGCCTAACTTAGACATTGATTATATTGTTTAGTGACTAATAGCTTTGAAAGAGATATTTGTGACCTGAAATACAGATACAAAAAGGTTAATCGAGTTCAGACACAATGTCTCATCATTTATTGTGAACGAAGTACATAGAACATATAACAGTTAATTATAAATGTGACTAGCTGTTCTTTGTAACTTCGCCCTCTTGTAATTAAGGGTTTTAATTTTATTTGTGTGGAACCCTAATTATTTTTCTAAAATAAAAGTTGCTCATAACTCCAGCTATTTGCCTGTGGAAGTCCTGTCAAAATCGGTCTAGCCTTTTCGGCGATCAGCCAGAACAAACAAACAGGCAGACAAAAATTTTAAAACTTGTATTTTTGTTATAAGTATTGTATAATATACTTTCATTTACATTTAGTAAAAAGCTGTTTTGTTATTACTTAAGCAAATGTTCAAAAGTAATGTTTCATTATTTACTAAGAAAAAAAATCTTATTATTATCTTTCTGGGATATAAGTAACATATATTGTAATTAAAAGTTGAAAAGCATGGGTACTTTTTAAATAATATTAATACTTTGCTCTTGTCTGACAAACTTTAAAATGACCTCAATATAAGCAAATAAATAAAAGGCTAAGAAGGTTTTCATACCAAGGAGGCATATAAGGAGCTAAAGAATTTATAGAGTCTTTTAACAGGATGATGCGATTTCTTATCTGCATTAAAAAGCCACTGTAATGCTGACACAGACACTGCACCATCAAAACATCCTGGTTTAAACGGAACTCCATCCCCCATATCTGCCAGTATTAAATCACCTTCAGTTTCACGTTCCAGAGCAACATCTGCACAATAAATTAAAATGATTTTATCTTTGTTTAAATAAAAAATAATATTCTTTGTTATGTTTAATACAATGTTTATATAGGAAATTAAAATAAAATCTAAATTAAGCATACCCAGCATAGCAGAGGATATATCCAGTCCAATCCACAAATGACCATTTTCTTCTAGAACTGTTCCTGATAAGCCTGAACCACATCCGATATCTAAGAGTAGGCACGGTGTGTCCTCAGGCAAAACCAATAATTCAATGCATCGTTCAGTCATTTGTCCCTGGATTTCAATGATACGGGAACTGCAGAGCAAGACATAGTACAAATCTGGATTACAATATTTATAATCTTTAGATAATGTATAATAGGGAGTACCTTACTTTTGTGTATATTTTCTCGCTTCATCTTCATTATAAAACTAAAAACAAAAATACAATTTTAGAGTTGTTTATATATTTTAACGTAAATTATTAAGCAGGACAATAAATCATACGAGTTCAGGCGGAGCTTGATGTTCTGGTCTTTTTGACATTTCCTTAAATTTTTTTATAATAATATTGATTTTCTTAAGATATCTAAATAATTTTCTTCAAAACATCGTAAGAAGGAAATAAAGTAAATTGTGAAAACAACCTGACCCAAACTAACCTAACTTTTCTAAAATTTGTTGTTATTTTTTATCTATGGTTGTTTCAATTCGCCAGTAGGTGGTAGCATGAGACCGATATATCAAAAAATAACTAATAACGTTATGTTATCAATAATATCATATCATATCAAATAAAAAAATATCTTTGAGTATTAAGCCAAAGGAGACGGCATCGTAAGGCATACCCCTTTGTAAAAAGTACGAGAGTCCGACTCCGACTCCTAACCGTTATATAAAACTAATGTACGGCCCAAGCTAGCAGCGATACGAAAGGTCGTTTACCTTACTAACGACTGTGGAGTTGACAATCTATTATCTATCTCTTTCCATTTTGTGCATTTGTCGTAATGTCTCGTTTTACCGGCAAAAACATGTCAGGGTCAATACGGGTTTACCATCATTCGGGAGGCCAGGGCCATTTTAGTAATAGTAGGGGAGCCGAGGGTGCTAAATCGGGATTTACTCGAGCGTCAGAGACCTATTGGATTGCGAAGCTTAGATGATAAGAAGAAAAAAAGTCTTATAGTATATACACTTTCATCGATGGAGAAGCGGCTATAAATTTTCAAAAATGTAAAAAAAAAACAGTTGCATGGACATACTCGAGCGCGGCAGATATTAATAGCATATATGTCCTTCGAATTTTTGAAAGCATACGTACGTTAATCTGATTGTTTCCATGATGGGGGTGGTCGTACGTAAGCGTTGAAAACGGAAAAAAATGTAATCCAGCGCGTCAGATTTTCAAAGGGGATGTTAATTGAACCTAAAAGAAGGCTCTTATGTAATAATCTGAGGATTTGGATGTGACCCAAACTCGCGGCCATTATTAATGTGCAAAAAAATCGCCATTTTTAAATACTCGAGCGCGTCAGATTAAGATATATAGGGTTCATTTATATACCCTAAACGTGCTGTCTTATAATCTGACGATTATCTGAAGGGATTCGCCTAATCTGACAATGGAAATATTTTTTTTTTGTATTTTTTCAAATCTTTTAACTTAACAAATTAAAGAACTGAAAAAATAGCATGCAAATAAAACAGTATATATTCTCTGAAGTACAAAACTTTTTATTTATGAGAAAATAAGTATAAAAAATATAAATTTTTTTGAGAAATTTTTTTTTCAATCATCATCTTCGTCTGTAGAATCATCTTCCTCTTCTAGCTCGATTTCATCCTCAGATTGTGTATCTATAACAAGAAATCATGAGAGTATTAAATAAAATTTTTCTTCATGAATAACGACTTCTTCAATCATTGCAGAAAAAACATACCTAGTTCTGGAGTATCCTCAAAAATATCTAGTGTTATGACTACATCTTCATACGCTTTTGGCAATTGATCACCCGCAAACCAGGTCATTTGGTATTTTTCTTCGACAACTCTCCACCCATAATCCGTTGGTAAAAGATCAATAATTTTTGCTTTAAGGGCATTACTCCACAAGCATTCAATGAATCTTGTGCGTAACACTTGTTGGAATAACTCCGATTGACACGGTGGCAAGTTGCATGAATCTCAATTCCGGATACTCTAGGAGAAGGGTTGAGATTTGTTTTTCACCTTGAACGTCTTATTGAAGACAACAATTCTGGCTTGATTTATATCACTTAACTTCTTTAACCCGTACAGGTGGCAAGTATAAGACTGTATAATGTGAAACGAATCCTGCACATTGTGCTCCTTTGATCCCAAACCCAGAAATGCATTTTGAAAAGTTTCAGAAGTCATCAGAAACTGTAAAGGTTTTTTCCCTCGTCGGTAAAATGCTGGGTTGAAATAGCAACCAGTGAATGCATGCAAACCTGGAAGTGCCTTGAAAATTTTTGGGCCAAGTTTATTGTAGAGAGCGGATACATCGATGTATCGGCATGCATTGCCAATTCCAAGATCCATCCAGATTTCTACTGTTGCTTGCAGGTGTTCCATATTTACCAACATGATCACCAAAATATCAGTATCCGATGTTCTAATAGTAATAGTAGAATCTTCTTTTTGTTGGCAAGCAAGAAGTGCTATCTTTGTATCCGCTTCTTCGTGGTCAGGGCAAGACAACTAATAATTAATGATGCGCGTTACTTTATTATCGGTAACAGAATATTTATAACACAAATCATGTATTATGTAAATAACCTTACTATCGATAATCGCTGCCATCTCCTGATCAGCCCAATGACCGATGAAAAACTTTTTTTTACAGAAGAGGGGGCAAACGAGCATGAGGTTCACCTAATGTTAAATGACTACCGCCGCCAATGCCGCCGATTATGGGCAGCGGTTAAAATTGCAGGTGCGTTGCCGGTCGTATCGGTCCGGAAAAATCGCCGGTGGAAAACTATTCCACAGAGAGGTCGTACGCGGAGGAAAACTCCTTGTGAAACGTACAGTTGTGGACCGCCAAGCATCCAGATAGTGTTGATGGTATCGGGACGTTTGCCGCATAGTGCGTTCACGAATTTTGGCGGCTGGGATTAATCCGAACAATTCCTCAGAGCACTCTCCATGGTATATGCGAAAGAAAATGCAAAGATATGCAACATCTCTTCGCAGCGCCAGTGAATCGAGCCGATCGGAAAGCACTCGGTCATCGACGATTCGAGCCGCTCTGCGCTGGATGCGGTCAAGTGGAAGAAGCTGGTACTGGGGAGCACCAGCCCAGAGATGGGAACAGTATTCCATGTGCGGCCGAACCTGCGCCTTATAAAGTTGCAGGCGGTGTGTCGGCATGAAATACTGTCCCGCTCTGCTGAACACGCCATGCTTTTTAGAGGCCAATTTGGCCTTCTCTTCCAAATGACCACGAAACTGCCGAGGATACCGATAATGACCGAGGCAACAAGGGGGAGTGCCTTGAAACTGGGGAGATACGACAAAGGGGTTATTTTTCGCGGTAAACCAGCAAACTTGTGTCTTCTGGGGATTAAACTGGACTAGATTTAGTCGCCCCCAGTCCGAGACTCTATTCAGCAAAGACTCGACTTTAGACACAAGCTTGTCCCGGTACTAGAAGACGTTTTCCTGAGAAATATTGGCACGGCCGGTGTACAGAGCATCACCAGTGCTGACATCTGCATAGCAATGAATGTTACGGGTTTGCAACATATCATTGATATGCAGAAGAAACAGCGTTGGCGATAGCACGCAGCCTTGTGGAACACCAGCATTAATAGGCTTGTAATCGGAGCTTGCACCCACTACAACGACCTTGATGCCCCGATCAGAAAACTTCACAAATTTCGCAAACTTAGCAAGAGCTTGCTTTAAACTTAGATTTTTTTAAATCTTTTGTAAAATCTGCTGTTCTCATTTGTTGAGGACCGGTGATATGAAATTCCTTGTCGTCTACGTTGCCTCTAATAGAATGCTCGTAATCTTTGATTGAGGGTGTGAAGTAGCGGTCAAATACAATGGCAATTCTACTTGCTGTGTTATTAATTAGGCATTGCAATATTCTCTTTGACACACCTCCAAAAGTACGAGGCATCTGCGCGTTCAGCTGTCATGGCGTCATGGCAACAGAACCCAAAGTAGGGACGGAGTGAGAGAGTCATAGATAGAGAAAGAGTGAGAGAGGAATAGAAACGCGGGAACGTGAATACCGGCATCACGTAGCTGCACGCATTAAACTTTATCGATTATTTTTCCTTACTTAGGCTTACGGAAGTCGTCGGATTATATATTATTCGTGAACGTTGAATTATTGCCTTCAAAATAAAAAAAATGTAGCCACGCTCGAGAAAGTCGAGATGACGTTTTTTTTTTGTTTGTAATCCACCTACTTCTTATCGTCAATCGAAAATTGTCAGATTAGTGCAATATACCCTTTTTAGGATATAACTAACTTACTCTACCTTAATTTGACGCGCTCGAAAATTTCGCTTAGATACGGTCGTTTTTGTGCCACGCAGCCTCAGCACGTCCCACATTTTGTCAAAGTTGCGACATTAAAGTTCGTACTGTAAAGCACCCGAAACGTCGGAAATCAAAAACAAAATTCAACGCGATAAAATCCGTAAAATTAGTTCAAAGTTAGATAACTTTGAATTGGCGATCACTAATCGGCTGGTGATCCTCAAGGTATCTCATGACCTGGCAGTTTACAATGGACTCCATTGTTTTGGAGAACAAGGAGGTGATGGCGATAGGCCGGTAGTTGGACGGGTCTGAGCGGTCGCCTTTTTTAGGGATCGGGTGGACGTAAGCCATCTTCCATGAATTTGGGACAATGCCTAGGGAGTAGGAGTACCAGAAAAGACGCGTTAAAACCAGTGCCAACTCTGGAGCACACGTCCTCAGCACAATTAGGGGGGAATTCCGTCAGGCCCACTCGACTTGGGAATGTCCAGGGAAGGGAGCGAACCGAGCGCTGTGTGAACTGCACTTCCGGCATGGAGCACTCACACCTTGGGATGGTCGGCGGCGTACTCCCCCCGTCATCGAGAGTCGAGTTAGACGCAAATAAAGAGCCTAGAAGATCGGCTTTCTCCTTTGCGGTATGGGCCAGTGAGTCGTCCTCCCTGTGCAGAGATGGAAGAGATGGCTGACAGAAATTCCCCTGGACAGCTAAATGAATAAATAAATTATCTAAAATTCGCTTTGAGTTTATTTTAGCAGTGAAAGCAAACTATTTTTTACCAAGTAATTGTTATTTTAAAGAACGAACGAAAGACATATAATTTCAACGAGGAAACCTTGTAATTTCGCGTTTTTTTTGTAATACTCCTCCTAAATAGATTTCATACTAACCTTTTCACGTCTTTATTGTCTGATGAAGCTTCTATAAACTTTCATAGATTTAAATAAGTATTACGAACCGGGTTAATAAAATCCCTAATTTTACTAAGTCTTTACGTCATGCAGGCTGTCAGTTTTACAACAATCACGGTTGTGATTGACGAATAACCTACCGTGTAAAGCAATGATTGACACCTGCATGAGTGCGTAATGTACGCCATAGATAAATAAATATGTAGCAAGCTAATGTACGCCTATCAGTCACCATCCGTTTTTTTATCAATAATGATTGATGGAATTGATTGACGCCTGCATGAGTGTGTAATGTACGCCATAGATTAAATGAAATTATCGACGATTTTTATTTCGCTATCGGCTGCGCTAGCACTTTTTATTCGTTTGTGGCTAATGGCACATCTATAGAGGTGTCTATGGAATGGGAAAACGGCAACAATTTTGTAAAAGAAAGAAGCAGACATGAGTGATAAATAACGTCACAGTGAAAAAATCATCGTGATCTGCCACCAGAGAATATCACAGTGACTTTTTGTATGATAACGTCGGTCCAAAATAACGTTGTTTCTTTCCGTCACATTTACTCCGTCTCACTCCCGTCACTACGATACTGCTAAGGTTAATGTAATATGGAACGAGAATAAATCGGAACGTGTCCGCCCGCGCCCCGCCTGCGCCGTTCGGAGTACTTCGGAGATAGTCGTATATTTTCGTGAAATGTTGAACTATCATTAGGCAATTCTAGCGTATTTGACAGTCGACTCAGTTTACTCATTGTAATTTGTCAAGTTTGTGGACTTATAAATTTGGCGCCATTTTTTTTTCTTACCTTTTCTTTGCGTGTTGATGCAAATTACGACGTGCAAAGTGTTAGAAATTAGTTTATTCGTTGTGTAAATAACAATAATAGTGAATAGTTCAGTGTATTTAGTGTAGGTATATAAAAATTGATCTCAGCCATTATGGCAATATATGACAATATAAGTAATAATAACCGACTAAATATCAAATCGTGTATAATCACATTACAAAAGTTCCAAATACCTATTCTGTTCTAATTTCTATCCGACGTTATCGACGTGACAAAGTCACAGTGATTTTTCACTGTGATATTTTTATAACTGGAACAACAGTCATGGTGATTGACTTATAACGACTTTGCCCATGTCTAGAAAGAAGCTGAGAACAATATATCTATCTTATTTTGTACCATGTTAAACGTCTGTACAGATCCCAAAAACCAGCCGCTAGGAGATAGGGTGAAAAGAAACACAGCTATCCATTAGCAGTAGGAGTCAAAAAGCATCGTATATTACGTAAAGAAATCTTATAATATTATTTGGAACAAATCTTTACAACGCGATATAAATAACACAAGCTTCGGACATAACGACATCTAGTCGTTAAAATAAAATTAAATTTAAAATAAAACTTACATTGATGTTTTAACGTTCCTCAACTCAGCAGAACAAAATTGCGGTTGCATGCAAAAAAAATTTGCCACCATCAATTTATTTATCCTTGGTAGATTAGTACTTTCTGCTTTTACGTATTCGTCTTCCATGATGCCTTTTTAATAAAATTCGTAATAAAACTCAATAATCGTAATGATAACTTGAAAATTTTCGGAATAACACAGCACGCTACCTAGTTCTCTTAATCAGTGATACAGAACACTAATATCCTTAGGCTGGATCAGTGACGTCACGACATGTCTAATATGGTGGACACCATAGGTTTTTGGGGGCGACTAAATCTAGTCCAGTTTAACCCCCAGAAGACACAAGTTTGCGCGTTAACCGCTAAAAAGAACCCCTTTGTCTTATCCCCTCAGTTTCAAGGCACTCCCCTTATATATAAACATAGGCCTCACCCAAGGTATGCCACAAAGTACGGTCCTGAGCCACCTGCATCCATCGACTTCCTGCATGTCTTACCAGGTCGTCACTCCATCTAGTGGGGGGTCGCTCTACACTTCGTCTACCGGTACGAGGCTGCCACTCGAGAACCTTTTTTCCCCAACGGTTGTCGGTTCTTCGAGCTATATGGCCGGCCCATTGCCACTTCAGCTTACTTATCCGTTGGGCTATGTCGGTCACTCTGGTTCTACTGCGGATATCCTTATTTCTAAGTTTATTACGCAGCGAAACTCCGAGCATAGCCCTCTCCATAGCTCGCTGAGTGACTTTGAGCGTCCTCATACGCCCAGCAGTGAAGGACCACGTCTCAGTTCCATATATCATCACTGGCAACACGCACTGGTTGTACAACTTACCTCAAAACCTGAAAACTAAGATAAATGTAGAAATAAGGATATATACACATTAGAACCAGGGAGCCCGACACAGCCCAACGGATTGGTAAGCTAAAGTGGCAATGGGCCGGCCATATTGTTCGAAGAATCGACA